GTTATTTTTAAAAACTTCAACGAATAAAACTATATGGGGAAGGTTTAGAGATTTTTGATAACATAATTTAGTTGTTCAAATTCAGTTATATTCAACTAAAATTCATAAAAACGTTTAATTCAAGTGGGAGAAGTACCTTATGCTCCCTCCTTCCATCTTTTCCGTGAGTTGCCACTTTTGAATCGGTAATTCCCGTAGTCGCCCAATTTTGATATAACGCCGATTAATAAATAATCTCGTGCGATTTTGGTAACGAATGTGAATACAAAAACAAGAACCAGATGTGCCAGGGAGCTCCCGAAGAAAAGGAAGTCAAATTACCAGTAAGTGACAAATCCTTCTTGCTTTTAACACACATTTTGAACATAATGTGGCAGAGCGTAGTTAGAAATTTCATAACATATTTTTTCGAGAAACGGATTGGGTTTTTGTAAAAAGAATTTTTGTGTAAACGGTACTATTTTGTTGTTAACCGACTATAACGATTGATTTGGTTAGTAGATTTTGAATTTGCCAAAAAAAGAAATTATTTATCTTCAGATTTACGGAACGGGAACAATATTTCTCTGGTGTTGATTGATTGATTAATTTGCAACTTATTGATATCAAATTACCATATTGAAATTTCAACGCCACAGATTATCGTCGTGTCGTGAGTATCAGTTGTGACATCTGAAATGTCTGCACCTGGCGGGGAAGATCAAACGCGCATGGCGTAAACAAATAACAACTCTGACCCATAAATTAATGTCCTGTACAGACGATTTTGCAGAGATTTTGGATAAATTATCCATGTCCAAAAACCACAACGAATTTGCCACAGATGTCGTACAGTTAGAGTCAGAGTCAGTCAGAGATATAGGATTTATTATGACATTTTAGCACACATTTGACGCTAGTCAATTAGTAAACCGGTGAACGATTAACAATCAATATCTTCCGGTCCGTCACCTGTAAAAAAAGAATTATCTTTACGCGATATTAATTTCACGAAGTTTGACCGATGTCCAGAAAAATTTCCGGCATTTCGAGCAATGTTTGATGCCATGGTACATAATTCATCTTATTCCGATATAGAAAAATTTACCATATTGATAAATTCTGCACTAAAGTTTGGGCAAATGGTACGCTTTTCACCAGAAAATTATTTGGTGGTTTACAATCAAATGATACAACGATGCACTAAGTTTTGTGAAATATTACAAATAAAATACACCTAATTTAGACGATTACATATTTGTGCAATTATCTTTACAAGTATTAATCTAAAATCTATGGAAGGATTCTAAAAAATAATTATCTAGATACAGACTCTCCCACATTTAAAGACTTTATTGAGTTTTTGAAGTTTAGTGTCACAATTAGTATGGTCAAGTTTAAACGTAGATAATAGAATCGCAAATACATATAACATTGATTACAAGATGCGCAATAATAAAAGTACATATACCTACATGAAGAAACTTACTTTGGTTTCTCAGCAAGAGAGAAAATAAAATATCCCCACAACCTTGCATTTTTTGCTCTCAAAGCGATCATGGTAAGCTAACGAAGTGGTTTATTTCTTATTTTATTTACCCATAAAAGAGCACCATGCCTATTCAAAGGCAAACATTTGTGTTATGCTTGCTTATATCCCCATAGAACTGCACAATGTAGGACGAGAATAAATTGTAGTCAATGAGGAAGTTCTCGTCATAACAGTTTCTTACACAGGATGAGGAATTTTCTAATAAAGGTAATAAGTTAGAGGTACATTACAACCTCGTTAATCCGAAAACACGCTAGTCCGAAATCACGATAATCCAAAAGATTTATTTGTATATAATTGTGTATGTACATACTGTACTCATAAATACATATGAATGTTAAGCTTTTTTACAAGGACAAAGTTTAATTTTGTTTTACGTACAGTATTTAACTGATTTCTGTCCTTGGTCTATAAAATTTAAGTTTTGTTGAAAAGAATAAAGTTTATTTCTTAATGCTTGTGTCCAAATCTATTATTTTCACAAGTTTCGCGATAATCCGAAAATTTGATAATCCGAAAGGTCGGTGGTTCGAAACTATTCGGATTAACGAGGTTGTACTGTATCTGATTCTAAAAAGGAAGTTGTTTCTAGTGCCATGGAAAATTCCTATGGCACTTTATTAGGTACTGCTGTTTTTCATTTTAAGGCAACTATGGTGTCCCTTCCAATTTAACAATTTAAATTTATCTAATGATATTAAAAAGGAATTTGATTCTGTACAGCCTGACTTTAATATTTCATCTCCTATACAGTGATATTTTTTAAAAAGTAGACATAGGGATTTATATGTATTGCTTTTTCGTATGTCTTCTTTTAAAAGACCGAATCTCTTCTGAAGGGCGCCTAATTTTATGCACCCAAAACATCTTCTTAAAACAAAAAAAAACATCTGGTTGTCATATTAATTAGTTTGAAAATTGTTGTATGACTTTTTTATCTACCGAATCTGTTCTTGATAGATTGACGGCTAGGCGAGGTCATTTATATAGTGACCGGGGCTCTAACTTTAGGGGTGCAGCAAGAGAAATTTCAGAAGGCGCAAAATTTTGTGTTCATTTTTTAGTTTTTTATTTTCTAGGCTCACACTACTTTCTTTAAATTTTAATATTCATTCAAAAAATTCAATTTAATTCAAAGCATTACTTTACTCGTGGAGAACTTGGAACTCTGTTAATTAAATTGCACTAAAAATTTACAAAATTGTGCACTATAAAAAAGTAACTATTTATACTGAACTATAGAAACTGATCACAGTCATAACAATATATTATCCAATGGAATAGAACAAAATTGTTTCTTTAAAAGATCAATACTAATGAAATAATAAATCCAAAGTTGGTTCACAAAACTACCGAAGCCCAGGGCCCAGTGCTCAGCTAATCCGCTTCTCGAATAATGTGCATATAGCTAGTCCATGTCCTCATTTAACGAGTAATTCATATTTATGTGACAATAAGTTTTAATTGTGAGAAACTTTAATTATTTTCACTTGCCAGTAGTGGTGCAAATAATGTAGTGTTGTGTTTCTCAAAATTTTCCATGTCAAACATTTTACTGAGAATCGTAATGGCCCCAGTAAACAAAGCACACTTATGAAAGAGTAAAAATATATCGCAGAAATGTAGAGTTTAATTTGGGATACAAAACCGTTAATTACTGCAGAGTGGTTACATAACAATGAACAATTCGGTACTCGTACACTATTTAAAACAAATAATTTCCCAACGACGTACTGTATCTGAGGAAGTGCAATTATTGTTGAGTAGGGTTGGGTTTTATCGTCCCGAAAACGTCAAGGCATTCTGCCATTGTTATAAGCAAATGTTATGATTTGATTACAACGATGTTGAAAGCACGTCAATATCAGCTAAGTAAA